GCCGCCGTTACCGCGGTGACCGCGGGGCCGCCGCTCCAGAAGGTTCCCGGGATCGGGAATCGGGAAAATTCCCGGGAATCGGGAAAATTCCCGGAAATCGGATAAATTCCCGGAAATTCGGGAAAATACGAGAATTGCAGGAGTCGCGGCCTCGCTGTGCCACGGGGTGCGCCCCGCTCCTGGGGAGTGTGAGGCGGGGACAGGCCCGGCTCCGGCGATTTTAGAAATAATTCTGATTTTTCCGGTAGATGGCAGTAAAATAAAGCTGCGGGCTCTTCCCGGCGCCTGGAAACCGGCGGGACAGAAAGCATCAGGAGGCTGGAGCGAGGTATCCATGGGCTTTTCCAGGGAAACAGCCGTGAGGAGGATGGATGGATGCCGTGAGGGATGGAGCAAGGCCCGGGATGCTCCAGGATCAGCGTTCCAGGGCACATCCCCTTCCCAAGGCTCTGGGACTGTTCATTATCGCTTCCCTGCCCTGCTCGGGAATTTGTAACTTCCAGCTCAACAGGGAAAAAGTTTCAGCAGGAAAAAGCAAATAAAGGGAAAACCCCCCAGCAGACCTGGAATAGTCACAGGGAGGTTTCAGTCAAAAAATGGATTTGGGAGATCTTTCCCAGCTTTAAACATGGAAGATTTTGAGATGAAGTTCTAGCCTTAAATAGAGATTTTTAATAAATAATAAATAAGATGAATAAGAAATTCATCTTTTAAATAAGATGAATTTCCAGGAGCAGGAGAATTTGCAGAATTTTGTGTTTGATACAGGAATTATCTTAAAGAAAATCCACCTGGCTGGTTTGTGACAAGTGAACATTCCAGCCTGGAACGGCCCTAAAACCAACCAGAGCATCTCTCTTAATCAGAATATTGACAAGTAATTAATAAATGGCCACTGTAAATGATTTAATGACTATGCTAAAGACGCTGCTTGTGGCGTTTTTAGTGTGAATAAACTTTATCTTCAGAGCAGTTTTAAATAGTTCTAAAATCTTGGAATAACTGCGGTGCAGAGGTTGAGATTATAAAATATTTGTAATATTCTGTGTGTGGCTTGAAACAAAGCTGAATTCTGTGTGTGAGCAATAAACCCCATCCCAACTGGCCTGAGATTTGGTTGTGAAAAGCCCAGAAGAGGCAGAGCTGCTGTTTTATTTGCTGTTCTCTCATCCCCAGAGATCACCTGGGCAGTCCTGGGGTCACCCTTTCCCTGGCAGTGTTCCCTGCCCACCGTCACTCCCCAGAAACATTCCAGCCTGGAGTGAATCCCAAAGCCCTGGCTGGGATCTGGGGGAATTCCAGCAACTGGCAGCAGGATCAGTGCTCACCTGGTACTGAGATGTGCGGAGATGTTGTCATTCCTCTTGGATGTCTCCTCTCCACTTTGGGCCAAATCCCTGCAGCGTGATGGATCCTGATGGAACAAGGATCTCCTCTCATGGAAACATTCCAGACTTTTCTAATCCCACCTGGTTATCCCAGGCATGTTTTCCATGGGGAATGTAAGGAGGGAACAGGACAGAGGGGATGAAATCCCAGTGCCAGAGGGCAGGGCTGGATGGGATACTGGGAAGGAATTGTTCCCTGGGAGGGGCTGGGATGGAATTCCCAGAGAAGCTATGGATCCCTGGATCCCTGGCAGTGCCCAAGGCCAGGCTGGATGGGGCTTGGAGCAGCCTGGGACAGTGGGAGCTGTCCCTGCCCATCCAGGTGGATCTTTAAGGTCTCTCCCAACCCAAACCATTCCATGATTCCCAGAACTCAGCCCTGTAAAAAGAAATTATTTCTGACCCTGGGCAGGGGATGTGGAACTTTCCCACAGCTGTTCCCAGCACTCATCACCCACACTTCCCTGGTCCCAGGGATGAAACCTCTCTCCAGCCAGAGCAGCTCCAGCTCTGGATCCTGTGCAGGATCTCAGGGATCAGGGCTGCAGTGGGTGTTCCTTTCCCCTTTTCCTGGATCCTGTGCAGGATCCCAGGGATCAGGGCTGCAGTGGGTGTTCCTTTTGCAGCTGTTGGAAGGAGCTCATTATGGGATGCTGGGTGCCAGGGATGCAGGGCTGTGTTTGCACAGGGATCTCTTTAATTGCTCAGCCCTTCTCCAGGTCTGGGGCTGCTGCAGCTCCAGCTCCTTTGTGCAGATTAAAAGAGTTCTGTAAGGAACTCCTCGTGCTGCAGCTCTGTCAGCCTGGAGGGCATCTCCAATGAGATTAATGATGTCTGCCTTAATAGAAGAAAACTTTGCATAAATGAGATTATGGTTTCTGCTGAAACCTGCCAACTCTTATTCATTTGCAGTAAATATTATCTTTAATTAAAAGTTTTAAGGTAGCTTGTTCCTGAGCTAATGAGATCTACAGTGATTTCCCTTAGGAATTAATTTACCTTCTTAATTCTCATTCATTTTGGTGATAGGACTATTTAAATCTGCTCCAGACTTCAGAGCTTTGTTGAGCACATTCAGCCAGAACAAAAGGTCATTTTGCCATATTGATGTTTTGTTGGTATTTGTAATTCCCTTGTTCTCTCTCCATTCCAAAGATCCCTGTTTAGGTGCCTGCCCCAAACATTTCCTTCCAACCCTTGAGTTCCTCTTAACACTGAGAGGTTTTTTTTTCCACAGCCATTTCCCTTTGGATTTGTGTTTTCTGTTCCCTCCAGAGTAAAACTCGATTCTGATTGTGATCAACCTTTTCTATAAAATACTCTCAAATCTGTGGGAAACACTTGGTGCAGCTGCTGACCAACACAGGAATATTTCTGCTTTTCTGGGAAATCATCCTCTCTAATTCCTCTCCAAGGATTATTTGGAAGCAGCAGGGATGCTTTAACACTTGGAGGTGAAAATTGAATTCCTGCACATGTGTTTGAGTGGGAGAAGTGCCAAACTGGAGACCTGGAGCCAGAGCCCTTCCTGAGGCTGGGCACAGTGCTGCTGCCCAGGCTGAAATCAGTTATCCAGCAGAAATAAATGACAAGGTTCCCTTCTTTGAAACAGAAATACAGATGGAAATGAAACAGCAAATTTCCAAAGAAATACCTGGTTTGTACACACAAAGAAGAAGCCAAGAGGAAAGAAAGAATGAATGCTCCTTTGTCAGCAGCAGCAGATTTTTCTGTTGAAATCCAGTCAGAATCCCGTGAGTCTCCTCTGAAGATGCTGAGTCTGACAAGGTTTAGAAGTTGGGTAATTAATTACCCTAACGAGGGAAATGGGGAAATTAAAGCAAGTGTTGACCAGAGGTTGTTTTGTTCTGATGAAGTATAAAATACCTGTTCAGGACTATGCTGTCAGCCTTACCTGGATAAATTGAATCCTATTTTATACAAGATGCAAACCAGGGAAAGACAATTCCTCTCTGTAGGAAAAAATTCAATTTCTTTTACTGTTGTTCCGATTTTTTTCCATTTCCCACCCAACAACTTGTGACAGAAAACCTCCCCATGTCCTCTCTTTGTGTGTAATTAGGAAATACCCCTAAAAACAGCTCTTGTGTGTCTGCAGCTGATAAAAGGAGTCACTTAGAGGCTGCAGGAGGAACTCCTGACTGCAGCAACTCCTAACCCTGAACTTGCAGCACCAAAAAAGGGGAAGAAACACATTTTGGGGCCTGGGCTGGGCTATAAATAGAGCTGTCACCAACTCGTGCAGGCTGCTGATGACCTTCCTTTTATAGCTCACTGCAGCCCAGCTTCCTCCAGCCCTCACAAATCAGAGATTATTAATTAAGGATGAGCTAATAAATAACGCTGGCAGGGCAGCAAATGTCCTGTGAGAGCAGGAGGGATGCTCGGGTGTGTTGGGGGTGTTCTGGCACTTCTGTGTTCACAGTGTCTCAGCAAAGTGGGAAAATTGGATTTTTTTGGGTCTGTTCCTTTGAGGAAGCTGAAAATTGGTGCCAAACAGCAATGTAAAGCACCAATGTGAGCACAAAATCCCAGGAACTGTGGGGACTGCCAGGCTGGATTAGCTGGGATGTGTCCTTGGTGTTTTCTGTAGGATTTAGCCAGGCTGCTGTTTGGTGAGGAAATGCCAGATGTGACACAGCCAGCCCAGGGCCTGGGCACCACTGGCATCCCAACTCATTCCCAAAACAGCCAGGATAAGCTTTTGGGCTTTTTAAAAAGTCCTGGGATGTTGCTTTTCAAATCATCTCTACAGCAATGATCCATTGGAGAATTCCTGAGGTTTGGGCTTTAATGAATTCCTGACCTTAATTTGCCATCGTGTGAGCCCTGATTTTTGTGACCTTTATCTTCTCCCCTTGATTTTGTTCAGCAGAGTAAAAACTGAGGCACACAAAGATTCTACCAAAACACCATGACCAAGAGCTGGCTCCAGTGGGAGCTCCAGCACCGACTCCAGGATTTGATCCAAACTAAGATTTGTTTAAATGGGCTCTGCTGCCATCGTGGGCAGCACCTGGAAAAGCTTTGGAAGCACAGGGAGCACAGGGAATTCTGATCCAGAGCTGCAGCTCTCTCAGTTTGCCATTCCCAAGTCACCAAAAAATACCTGTTGAAGGAACATCTTCTGTAGGATGACAGAGTTAGCCCTTAAATCCTGGCAGCTTCTCTGTGGTGCTGGAAGGGAGGGAAAAAATTCCTGCTCCAGCTCCAGCAGTGGGTGAGGAGAGGGAAAACTTGGATTTTGGTGTTTCCTTCAGCAGCACATCCCAGCAACACATGTGGGAAGTCACTGATTCCTCTGCAAAGCTGGAGAGACACCAGGAGCAGAAATCCTGGGATTTTGGGTGGCATTTTGGAGGTTTTTCCCAGGGAAAATCGGTCTCAGGTTAATGGTAAAGGTCATCCAAACAGAGCCCAGGCTTGGCCACAGCCTCAAGCTGGAAAATCAGACAAAAATACAGAATAGATAAAAAATCCAACCTGGGCAGCAAGAGCTGCTTGATTTATTTAGGGCTTCCAGGAGCCCTTTTCCATAGGGATCCAAATCCAAGTTTTCCTGTGACTGGCACCAGGTGAAGGCACTTCCAGTCCCTCTTTAGAACCCATGCCCAGCTCAGGCCACGCTGGGTTTGTTCCAAAGGCTCTCCTGCCTCAGGCAGCTAAAAATGCCTCTTGCTACCCCAGCAGATCTCATTAATTCCATGTTCCAATTAGTCCTGAACAAACTGAGTGTACTCAGTGCACAAGTTATCACAACATCGAGTTACCAGCTCAGGTTCTGGCTGATTTCACAGGGAGGACGAGGATTAATTGTCAGCTCTCATCAGCCAGGAGAGGTTTCACTGCTCACTTGAGAAAAAACCCCAGCTTTTATTACACAATTACTTCTTAATTACATTCCTTGCAGCCCCAAACTTCCAAACATTTAGCTCTGCTAACCCAGCTAGTGAGAAACAGCAGACTTAGTAAAAATAGGAGTTTTCCAACTATTTTGGGAAAAATGGGAGCACCTGGGGACCCTGCTCCATTCTCTGCCCAGCAATGTCAGGAGCAAGGTTGAAGGAAACCTGAGAGGGCTCAATCAGGGCTCCATCCCCAGCAGCTCTGGAGGGATCAGCAGTTCCTATTTCCATTTCCCATGGATTGGCAGAAATGAGGCGTCCTCCCTCCTTCCAGGTGGGCTCAGAGCTGCTCTGCAATTCCCAGAGGTTTAGGTGTATTTTAGGTGTATTTTCAGTGGGAGAGGCCTTTGTCTTGTGCAGTTCCAGAGCTGATTTCAGCTGAGGAGCCTCCCCAGCCCCCTCCAGCCCTGGGTTCAGTCCCAGGCTCCAGCTGATCCCTCCTCACCGAGGTTTCTGGAGTTCAAGGATCCCCACTAAAAATAACTCCCTCCTTGTAACCTGACAAATGGAAAACTGTCATCATCCAGAGGGCTGGGTTTGGGTTACTGCTGGAGAGAGGCTTTGGGATCAGCCAGTGCTGCTCTCCTGGAGTGACTGCAGCAGCAGGAACAACACTGGATCTGCTGGCCACCAGTGTTTTCTTTGGCAGCATCACTTGAGCAGCAAAACCTTCCTAAAATACTGTACCAATAATAACAATAATCACTTTAAAACCAACCCCAGCTCCTTTCCAGGCAGCTGTCCCACCCCAAACACGCTGGAGGAATGAGGAGCAGTGCCCATTCCCCCCGCTTGG